TTTTTGGTTTACGAGATCAGTCAAATTGACCAACCTTGTATAGAGTTAGGGTAGAGAAAATAACAGATAAAATATAAAGTTTTACTTAAAACAAACATTTAAAATGTATTGAGAAGGTTTTTAGAGCTTACACAAATGAAATTTGAGATTTTTGGGATGAAGTATTTTTAATCTTAGCATGAAAATCACTTTGCACACGGACTATTCAAAACAAATGTTCGATATATTCAAGGACAATTCTTTTCTTAGTTTATCAAACATTCTTCACTGAAAAATATTATTCTATGTATGTGAAAGGCTTATCAAAAGTTAGTAGTATCAAATCTATAAAGACTTTCTACGAGTACAAAAAGGTCCTGTGGTCAGTCATATTGACCAAGCCTGCATGGAGGGAGTTAAATGATCCCATATATAAATAATCTAAGTTTTGGATCATTCAACGGTATTTAACTGACCATAATATGAGAATTTTGTTTTAATTTTTCATACATTTGTGTAAATAAAGAAAAGTAAGAAACATTTTCTATTTCTTTTACAAATAATGCAAAATAAAAAACAATACAGCAGAATCTACAAGACTGTATTTCAAAAATTCAATTGGATATTCTTTACTGGGATAATTAATTTCTGGTATATTAAACAACATTTTAAAGAATATTACTATAACAAGCATTTTTACCTTGAGCAGCTTTAGAGAAACTTTCTGTTAGAATATTAGTCACAATACCCCAGAAATAAGCCATGATGTGTCTCTCTTCATTCTATTCAATATATATATAAAAAGGAAATAGAACAAAAACTTTGTTATTTACATTTCTGAAAGAGATATATCACTGAAATAAAAAAATTCAAGTCTACATTAAGGGATTATGACCAAAGTTTCTTAATTTGAAAATCACCTTTCACTCAGACTGACCAAATAAAGGCTTTGAAAGTTCACAAATAAATCTTTAATAAAAATACTTTATTAAAAAATGAAATTTTCCATATAGAACAGACTTGTGATGTTTACTAAAATCTTCTCAAATTTCATAAATATCCAAGTGGTAATTCAGAATAATAGTAAACATTATGTATATCTTAATACAGGGTTGGTCAATTTTAGCCAGTCTGTCAACAAATGATTAAGTGCAACAGGTACTTATTAAATTATCAGAACAATTATGGAGTTGCTAATTGCATCTTATGGCCATGGCAAGCATTTAATACACAGTGTGTTTTACACCATGTAATACTGACAAAAAGGGGCATCCCTCCTGTGGCACTGAAATTTGCTTTTTGTTCTAAATAAAACTGTATTTAATACATTACCACATATACTTCTTTCATTTATTTCCCAATATTTTGGTATGCTCTTCTCTGACATATCTTCTCTGGGATAAGGATAATTAACCCTGTTGACACGAGTCACAGGTCAAAGTTCGTATTATCACATTTGTTGACTCACAATCAAAATCTTATTCAACTGCTATTTTATGTATTTATGAATTGAAGATTATAATTCAGGTCTCAGTATTATACATTAGTTAATTTCTTAATTTAAAAGTAAATATTAAAAAAAAAACACCTAAATATTGATTTTTGTGTGTCGCATTGTATGTTGAATGCAGCATTGGTTCAAATTAGATGTTTTTGATGTCCAAATACAAAGTCTGTAGTTTCTTATGAATTAGGAATTCAAATTACCTATATTAACAAACTCGATTATAAAATAAGAACCTCCTATTTGTTCTATTTCATGAAATATCGCTACATTTCCCGACTCAAACACAGTGGCCATGCCCATCTCTTTCCCTTTTTGGAAACACTTGTTTACGTACACCAATTTCTGTCTATGACATGTGAATAACCAATCAAAAGCTCAGAATGTCCCCTAGTGGATTTCTCACCCTTTTTCAAATATATGAATATGGAACTCTTTCTTTTATACAAGATTCAAATTGGTAATGTAAGACTTTAATGAGCTTGAAATTTCATATTTTATTAGACCTTGATACAGCTTAGTTACTAAGCTTGATACATTATAGTGGAATTCTATGTATTGATATAGTAATTTA